TTTTGAGACCTTGTTACCTCAAGGACACAAGCAGTCAGACATTTATTGCTCTTGATAAAAAAATACCAATGAAAAAAATATATAGTGAAATATTATAAAAAAATAAAAGAAAAGATAATGTTACACCATCAAAAGAAACTTGTTAAATATTGCAAGTATGATTTAAACCTCCATCCTCTGCCTCGCTTTTCCGAGGGACTTCCCTATTGCTCTTGATCTCTCCTCTCTCCCTTACCCTCACACAAATTTTTCTATTTCAAGAAAACTGTACACTCTGAAAAAGGATTAGATAGTATTTTTACTCTTTCAATGACAATAAATTATATGCCTGGTATGTAAGTTAATTCATCATTATAAAACATGTTATTATGTGTTCATGTTGAGTAACGTCCTTTATATTTTAACTGAATAGAGAACGTTGACTTTAATAACAGACATTGTTTTAAAGCGGGAAAAGAATTTAATTAATTACCGGTGGTATAAAAACCTGAAGAAATTTTTATCAACTGTGAATCAAGCATAATGATTGTCTCGTCACATCCGATGTGAAAACTTAATGTAAGATACTTGTCAAAGGTAAAATCAGATAATGTTCATTGCGTATTTGATTTTAGCATATTTACGGTATATATATGATGTCCAATGGCCTAAGGACACACATGAAACATGTATGTATGTCAGAAAACATTCGCTTTAGTTATTTTATACCTGCAAATTATCTCTATAATATTGATGTGTTTACCTGGCATATGTCAAGGAATGAAAGCTTTCCATTTTTTCCTGTCTCCAAAACTTTGTGACTTTGTGTTGAATGTGTAACACTTTAAAAAAAAATCTGCAAGCTGACATTTAGACTGAAACTGCGTTTTACATATACTTTTTGTGAAATTTGTGCCAAATAAAGTACAGATTTGATATTGGATAAAGAGTGAATAAATATTTGACTATAATATTCAAATTGAAAGGATAATACAAGGATTATAAGGATGTTTTTGGTTTGTAATCCCCTGTTTAACTTAATTATGAGCATGTCAAATTATATGTATTGATATAGAGTTTATAATTTACCTTTTTATGTATGTTTCAGGGACCATAATCTCAAAATTTTGTTTCAGGACTTTGCTTTTATTTATAAAAGTACAACACTTCAAATTGTAAGGCTTTTCAGTATTATGTATTTTAATATTCATGTAACATTCATTGAAACACCAAAAGAAAAAAAAATTAACAAGAAAGAATATCAACAATATTTTTTTCTGTATAAATGAACAATTCTGCTTTTAATTTACAAAATAGGTAAATAATCTTTATGAATTTAAATAGACACATCTTTGTTTTTTTCTCTCTTCAATAGTAAATGCACAATGAGGCTGAAATGTTGATAAAGTGATTAGATTTTTTCACCTGAAGTGAATGATCGATTGTAGCAATATATACAACCTTAATTTTCTATTACACAAAAGGTCTATTCTAAAATTACAAGTAATGTCGGAAAATCTAATCATATGGCAAATGATTATTTACCGAAACAGCAGTTGGGTTTTTTTTGTATTACACCAACAAATTACAATGTTTTGTTAATAGGAAATGATTCATTCAATATTTAAACATGATTATCTCCCTTTTTAAACCAAAAGTTTTTCTTACTAGAAGCACAGGTGGCAGTATCAGTGTTTGGACACCCACCCCTATCTGCCCATGGACCCCTACTACAACCCTGAAAAAAAAATAATTCAACACTCAAGGCTTATTATAAGGTACCAAATACAAAACCACCGATGAAATTATATAAAAAAAAAAAAAATTCCACTATCAAAATTATAGTTATAGTTATAATTTTGATAGTGGAATTTTTTTTTTTATATATATAATTTCATCGGTGGTTTTGTATTTGGTACCTTATAATAAGCCTTAGAGTGTTGAATTATTTTTTTTTCAGGGTTGTAGTAGGGGTCCAGGGGCAGATAGGGGTGGGTGTCCAAACACTGATACTGCCACCTGTGGATAGGGGTGGGTGTCCAAACACTGATACTGCCACCTGTGGATAGGGGTGGGTGTCCAAACACTGATACTGCCACCTGTGACTAGAAGAAGTGACTTTTTGGGAGAAATTAAGAAAATAAAGATGCATAATCAGGTTACAAATGGTTTGAATATGTGAATATGAAAAACAAGAGGTCAAATGAAACTTTTATGTCCTGGTTCAAATTATCAGAAAGCAGTCTTCAATAATTTCCTTTTCACATCACTTTTAATTACAGAAAAGCATGTTTAAAAAAGGGAAAATTGACATAGATTAATATTTCATGATTTAAAAGTCTTGTAAGATTTCCCATGCAGATTAAGTTTATTTGTAAGTATAAAGATTTGATAATATATAATTATGTAACTCAAGAGCCTGCTATTACAGCCACTCATTATAGGATTTAAATATTTAAAAAGCTGCAGAATGAACTTATTAAAGCAGATTCCTTTCTATATAATGATGACAATTATAAAGACAGTTTTACATTTTCTAAAGAATACATTAAACAATTAACAGCTAAAAGTTAAGATTATTGAATTCAAAGAAACTTTTAAATATTATTTTAAACAAAAAGGGTTAATTCTGTAGTTATAGTAATAAATAATTATGCTGTGCACTATTCAGACTGAAACTAAACTGATGACTACTTGAGTTTGGAATTTTTACACAGATTTTGACAATTTTGAATTCAAATCATGACAAATTCATCCAAAATTCAACACATATAATATATGCTCAATAGCTTATAAATATGTAAATTGGTAAAATGAATTTTATGAACCCAAAGGAATATTAAAGTACCTAAAAAGCATGATGTTAAAGCTGACCATCATAGTATAGGTCTTTTTATTTTTAATCTCGACAATCCTCAATGACGTATTGTTTAAATTTAGTGATCAGTAAAATCTCTCTTAATATTGACAATTGATCAAGTCTCAATAAATGCTGAGCCGGGGGAAACTTGAAGTGACAGATGTTACGGTTGCTGTATTTGTCAGGAAAGAAAGACTTCTGACAGAACAAAAGAAGTCTCTGATAAAAATGCCGTTTTGTTCCAGCCACTATAAAAGGTTAATTTATAATTCGACTGCTCGGTACCATTATAAAGTGACAAAAAAACGATTTGACATTAACTGAATTGTATTTGCTTATGCTTTTATGGTTGAAGATACAAAAATAAGAAATAATATTGATGTAAAAATAGTGTTAATAGAAAGTTCATTACTTCTATAAAAAAAGTAATTTTCATCACTGTAGCTACTTTTAAGACTGACAAGTTTCGCTAAACTGATACAAAACAGATGAAGGAAACATTTTCTGGTTTTGCGTGGTAATTGGAGCAGTTTTCATTTTTATCAATTTCATTGCCATTAGTGCTAGCTGTCATATGAGAGATTTAATTCCATTGATGGAAGCTCAACTTAATTCTTAGACATCATCAAATGGTATTGTTCTAGAGATCATGTGACCAGACTTAGATCTGTGTTGAGTGGAGGCTTGGAGATTGTCCCTACAGTCATGCGACAGCTAGAGACTGATTGCGGGGTATTAAAAGTTTGTCAGCAAATTGAATTCATTGATTTGTTGTGTTGGAAATATTTTCTGAGTAGCTGACTGATAGTTGTGATTGTGAGGCAGTAAGAATGAACAAATATTATTGATAAAATTTGCACATTGAAATATGCTGTCATAACTGTTGATTGCATTTTATCAATAGTTCTTTTATTATTAATAATCTCCATTGGATCATTTACAAACAGGTAAGCGTTTATCTGTAATATTGTTCAGTTTGCGTTGGATTCACTCACTCTTTGTTTATTTTATCTCCAATCGTGCTGTTGAGAAACACTTTTAGTTTCCTTTTATTATACCCTACACAATACCAAATGTTTGAATAGGGCTGAACCGTTTAATATTAAAAGTTTTTCAAATGAAAATATCATGCCATTTTAAGTGACTTTCGACTCGTTTGAAGGATGTCTCTTTTTGCAACATTTGAATGAAATAGTTAAGCGAAAAATATTGAATGAAGTTATTTAAGGTAACATGCAAGATAAATAATCATGACTGATATAGATTTGCTTCTTTTGATCGAAAGCATTTTACTTTGCAGATGAAAGGAAATCAAAATTTGTTAGTTCAAACTTTAATTTGTTTAAAAGTTCAATTCCTGTTTGGTAAACAATGTAGTTAGCATCACTGTTGAATTGAAGTATATCAAGAGTGAAATGTATATAATAGCACATGCGTATAATGCAAGTTACTGAAGTTTTTAAATGGAGTGAAAAGTGATTATTGTTGTAAGAGATATGTCTTGTCATTAAAATCTAGAGCATGCATTTAATGATGGAAAATACGAAGCATGACAGTCGAAATGTCATTAATATTTAATGCTAATCGTTAATTTAGTATTCCCGGGTGATTTACTTAACGGTATTAAATGCTTGTAATCAAGAGCTATATTCCGTTGTTAGACAATGAGCTATGTGACTTTATAAAGCAGTAGGAAACACTTATTGTTGGTGATTTTTCCCATAAAAAAATCTGGTATTGATCCTAACATGAGGGAAAAAAGCAGATTTCTGTGTAATGTGGGTTTAACCCCTCTTACATTGTTTGATTGCTTGTTGTAAACAGATAATGCCTGCAAGTAAATAAATCCTGTTTGATTATGATAAAATAAGCTTAAAAAGTTGTTAAAAATATCTAAAGTCAAATATGAGGATATAGACATAGTCATGTTTGTTTAAAATGTTATAAAAGTTTTGACTTGAAACAACAGTGATTAATGGTCTAAAAAAATTTAAAACAAAGGGAGACAATTAAAGATGTAGTTTTTAAATTGATAAGTACAAGTTGTCTTTCTTGAATCAAACAAAGAAAAAACAATTTTCTTTTCAGGCCTTCTTTTTCAGCTGTTTATTTAAGTAGATATTTGCATAAATGTTAGAAATAATGCTAATGATCATTGCAGATTGAAAGGGGCGTTTTGAACTCAGCTGGATTGAGAAGGACAAGGTAGGTCCCTGGATTGGAGATGCTATGCATCTCATTTTGCATGAGGAATGATTATGTCCACACAATTTTCATGTTGAATATATTGCATGATATTCTGATTTTCAAGAATTTGTTTTATACTTGGTTTTGGTTTAGATGCTTGAATTGGTATAAAATGTTTGTATTTTTCTTTCATGTTATGATTTCATGCTATTTTATGGTTGACTAGAAACTGTGTGCTAAACTGGCATGGCCTATTTATAACACCGAAACAATAAATGGTTTCCGGGTTACATGTTTGCTTCTGAATGAATATTCCACTGCTAGCCTTTGTGTAGTCAGAAGACCTAGTATATCCTAGTCTGAAACTAATCCATTAGGTTTGTAAATTTATTCAAAAGTATGCAAAATAATAAAACTTGAGCACTGTGCATTGTAATTTTGTTATTGTCCTGTTTTTTAACATTCACCCTTTCTATTGACAGGTTCTATTTATAGTTTTTCTGTATATTTCACCTGTCATCCTCACTCATATCTAATTATATTTTTAGATTTTCATGTCTATTATAGCACCTGTCAAAATCTTGGAAGTGTTTTGACGTCTGCTACAAAGATCATGTATGATGTAATCTATTTTTTATTCTAAATTATAATTATTGTCTGACCTTGATGACTTTATTCATCTGATGGCATGTACCCTATATTTGAACCAGGGCAGAAAGTATTCTCAGACAACCATAGAAATGAATGGGAAAACTTGAATAGAGATCTTTGGGTTAGTACAAATCATTCTTCAAGTATAATGATTTTTTATTATCAAGTGAATTTTGTTGAAGATTTCATAGAGTTTAAATTTTCTCAAGGGGAGACAACATTAGCACTTTCCTTGAACTTGCTCTACAAGATTTCTTTCCCCTGTCTATAACTATTTTTCCATTCCCCACCCACCTGATATAAACTTTGTGTAGGAAAATATAACTATTTTTCCATTCCCCACCCACCTGATATAAACTTTGTGTAGGAAAAAGATTATCTCAAAGAAATCACTATTTTTCCAAGGTAAATAGTATAATATTTTGAGGTGTTTTCCAGTGATTCAATGCCAGTGTCTGCCAAATGATATCTCAATCAGATTAGGTTCATAGCTTACCTTTACAAAATACATAACTCACTCATCAAAGCTACTGCTTATCAGCATCTGGCTTCAAGTGAGGTACCAAATGGGGTAATATTTTTGTTAAACACTGATGCTCTATACAGTTATTTAATATTCAGGTGGAGTTTTTCTACAGAAAATAGTAAAATTATAATCTTAACCATAAATGCATACAATTAGAATTTTATACTCTTTATTGTATTACATATAACCCTCATTAGAAAAAAGAGTTTGACTTTTTAATTATGTGACATTCCTGTTTCTTTCAATGGTTACATATAAATTATTGAAGAAATATAATCATGCTGTGTACTTCTGTAATAATAGATGTATTAGCCAGACTCTGGTATGGGCCAAGAGTCCCTTGAGAGCAGTATCTTCCACTTGCTATAGAAAATGAACTGTTTCCTCAATATAGATTCATCATTTTAGCTTAATCACTTACTTCTTAAATGCTGCTTATATATTGATTGTGGGGTCGTAAAATGTTTCTTTTCAAAATGTGTGTAATTGCTAGTGAGTGTTAATATACCCATGGGTAACCCCTTTGCCTGTTGAAGTGGCAGGTTCAGAATTTTGTACCTTCTGATTGGGTGAATTCTGATACCATCTGACCCCCAGAGACGTAGATGGGTCTAATTCATGCCAGATGCACGCCTCTCCTACATTTTCTTACTGAAACATTTGCCTGTTTGTGTTATAGTATATCGTTCTTGTGTTTCTTGTTGATAAGCCATTTGTTTTCTGATGCTGGAAGAGGACAGTTACCTAGGATTTGCTTATGATCCTAACATGTCTGTGATGTGGCCAGCAGGGACTTTGGGAGCTAAACCCCTGGTAACTTTTTTTATTAACTTTTTGATAATTCTGTTGTTCGTCAACAAAACTTTCCTGTGTCAGACATCTTGAATTTTGCTAAATTTTTGAAAAGTAGGTCAAACAATTTTGTCAATTTGTTTTTTTTGTTGTTTTAACTTAAACAGAATGAAATTGGAATTAAGAAAGATCTGTTATGGGGTTAAAACAAAGAGATCTGTTTTTAAAACTTAAACCTTGATTACTGTTATCATTGCGTGTATCAGCTTATCTTTTTATGTAGCTCCTTTTGTCTTTCACTCTTTAGAAAATTGTAGCAGACTTCTTTTCTGAAAAAAAAAGAGATGTAATGGCCTGATAGAATTTTTGTATAACATGAAATGGAATGAAAATTGTGAAATAATTTGTGCTAGATATGTGTGTTAATTCTATTAAGTATTCTGTACTTATAATCAGATATTTGCATGATATTTTAGTTACTCTGTCACTTCAATCACACTAACAGTTCTGTACCAGTTGTAAAATGGAACATTAAAGTAGATTTTAAGCATGTCATTATATTTTTAAAGTGTCAGGTTTTTTTTTTTCAAGATTTGATACAGAATCTGGTTTTGTTTGTATTTATCTTTAGAACAAGTACAAATGTGTGTAAAAGTTTACTCATTTGCTATCTAAAAATAAAATAGATAATTTTTTTCTCTAAATACAATAATTTTCCATGGAAATTACTGATTAAGGGGAGATAATAGTGTGATTTAAAGGGAGATAATAGTGTGATTGATGTTTAACTATTAGTTTGTTTTTAATTCTCTGCAGCACCCCTACACCCATGTAACGTATTATAAACAGTAACTGGAATCAGACTGCATGTTGGAAATGCTTGAATTAATAGAACTGAAACTTTGAAAACAAATATAGCTTTTGAATTACTTCCCTTTAAGTATTTCTTTAAATATATATACTTATTAATATTATTATTATTATTCATTGAAGTACAAAGTTCCTTCTTCTTTTTTTAACACAGTTGTGTTAAGTATTTCTAGTTGTTTCATGTTTGTTTGTTGTTTTTTTTTAAGTTGAATATGAAGAAAAAAACAGCAATGTTAGCATTTGCAAAATTTGTAAGTTTCACAAATTTACTGACTGATAATTAATATCATCAGTTATGACTATTGTGATGTGTTAGTATTGCACCATAGTTTTTAGTTGGGAAATATTGGCAAATGAATTTTATGCTGATAATGGTTACAAAAGAAGATGCACTGTCAATTGGCCATGGTCTCACACATACTTACAGAATATTGGTTTCCTAGGCAACCATTAGAAAATCACAGAGAGGCAGAGAATCTCTTTTTAGATCAATTTGGATTCTGCCATTCACAAAGAAATGGCAGGCCTGTTAAACATGTATCTTACGCTATTAACTCAAAATAAAAAGCTTGGAATTCCGACTGTAAATGGCGCATCTTCAGCATTGCAAATTCAGGTTAGTGATTTTGTAAACTATGTTAAGCTGTAATATTCTGAATCGGTAATTTTCTCTGTGTTGTGCTCGTTATTTATCTTCTATTTTTAGCAGTAGGTCATCTATGTGACAATAATGAAGTATCTGGGAAGAAGATATTTGCATTACACGTCGAACTTTTGCTGTTTAATATGGGAATACACGATCAATTTACATAGCATGACTAGTGACATAGTATTGCCTGTTCAGTTGTGCACTGTTTTCTGTCACAAGCCACTGGGGAAATCTCTCATTAATGAATGCTCTTGCTACAATATTTCATGTGACAGTTAAAAGTCAAGTGTTTCTGTTCACATTTTATAATCCCTATTTGGGTGGTTTTTACATTATCTTTTGTCTGTCATCCTATTAATATCTACTATAGTTTCCACATCTTTATTAGGAATATATTTAGAATTAGACATTTGACATGCAATGTTCATAATTAATGCAAGTGTGAAAGTTAAATTGTCTTTCCCCATTCAATATGAAGATTACCATGTTACAGAAGCCTCTGCTGTTCTTAGGAATAGATTAAATATAGGATTTTTAGACTGAATTCACATGGCATTTTCATAATTTCAACTTTCCGAATGAAAAAATTATTTTTTATTTGTAAGTAAAAAAGAAAGTAAAAAAAAAATAACAATAAAGCATTGTTTTTTTTAATTCATTTTCCTAATAGTGGGTTGTGAAAAATACGCTTGATTCACAAAGTGCCCTTCCTTCCTCCCTCCCTCCCAACCATCCGTTCAACCTCCCCATCCACTCTTTCCTCTTATGAGAAACCAACCTTCCCAGAGAAGGCTTTATGAATTAACACACCAGTTGAGGAATAGAAATATAATTTATTATGTGATATCTTTGTTACTACAGGGTTTAATGAATTTGAAAAAACAACAACAAAAAATAAAAATAAACAAAATACAAAAAACAACAACAACAAAAAACAACAACAGAAAATTATTGTCTTTTTTCAGTATGATAGCTTGATCACATTTTACTCAATTTTTTTTCTAACTGAAAATTTGATAACAATTTCCTTTGAAACTTTCTGGCACTTTTCAAGTGGTTGTTTTACTGTGACACTAAACCTGCTAGTACACAACACAGTAGCCAGTGTCACCCCAGGATTTCCCAGTTACTAGCCTTGGGGGCTTTTCACTGATTGGAAATGATTTTGCTTAGTGTCCAGTGATTGGAATATACATGTTGGCATCTGGTATTACATAACTTCTGATTATCCCAGATAGATCAGGCTGATAAAAACATCTTGATAAGGTTATGTTCCCAGCTTCCTGGTTCAGTTTACTACTGGATACTTGACCACTCAAGTTGCCTTCTCTTGAAACTGTTCATTTTAGTTTTGTGTTTAGTTGCCTTTATTTGTGTTTAGTTTAATTTTATTGTAAAATGGAAGGAATGTTGTTACAGCCAGGAATACCAATGGATCAGTACTGCTTTCATCCAGGAATGGAACAGGTATAAAACTTTTCCCATTTTGTCACTTTCTGACCAAAACAGAGATTTTTAAATTCCAAGTCATTCTGTTATAAAGCTAAATAAGACATCTGACCTATTGTGCATCGTCAATACAGCCCTGATCACTTTTTTCCCTATAACAGTGACAGACCTCTTCTGCCTGTTAAGTACATTCAACATTCATTAATCTCCTTTCCTTCTTTCAGGCTGTTTTGGTAAATATTGATTTCCTTATATTTAAAAGATTATTTCCAGAGCTAAATCAAGATCAACCCATTTTGTGATATTTGATTGGATTTTCCAAGTCAATCAATTGAATTTGGAAGTTTCCAAACATCTTGTTAAAATGTTTGTTCAGGAGAAAATGTGAACACAGTAGACCCAATTTTGATATATTGGAGAAGACATTGTAGTTATTTTTTGATGATATTACATGTCTTAGAAGTCTGATTGATAGTTATGTACAAGTTCTTAAACAAGATTTCTCTATTGATTAAATCTGTCTTATTGTTCACCTCTGTATCTTCATTTATTCATGTACTGATATCTTAGATGCTGACTTTAATTAAGTCAAAGACATTGTAAACAATGGCTGACTGATGAATAAATAATTAATGGTAGGGATAGAAGGCAAACAGAAGCCAGTAGGAAATGTAATTACCCCTCCTCATGCTAATTGCTTCCCTGACTTGCAGATACAAATATGGCCAAATTTTGCATTATGCATAGTTCCCTAAGGATTTTTTATATTGATTGACTATCAGGCAGTAAAACTTTTAGATTAATTAGGATACGAATATATATGTGATCATGTTCATCTCTTGTACATGTAGTCATACTGTTAAAATGCAGTTGGTTGGAAGTAGTTGACTTTAGAATAATGCTGAATGTAGTGGTAACTCAGTTGAATATGGAAAAAGATGTCAACCTAGGAACAACCCTTTCAGAATCAGAGGATACCAAGGTTGGTCTCGGATTTACCACTTTCCATGGATTATTATTAAATTCACAAAAGAGGAACAACCAAACTAATTTTTTTCTCTCTCAGAACTTTCCTGGATATTGTGTATTTTATTTCGGTTTTAATTTCATGGAAGTGTTGGGTAAACAATGTGTTTTTTGTGTCACCTTGTGTACATAGCAAGAAAAGTGATCTCTTTTTCATTTCTCACAACAGTGCTGTTTCTCATTAGCACCACATGCAGATACTGTTAAATGTTGTGATCAATATCTCAAGAAAGCTTTATATTAGGAAATTTCTCCTACCATGACTAGACTTGAGCACTTCTGACAAATTTGGTTTCGGATATGTTTCTCACATCCCCAATAAATGAATCGTTCTTTCAGAACTTGTTTATTTATTTCCCCAAGTTTCAGTAAAAGTCATATGCATTCTCCCCTCAATAATTTGTGTATTCAAACAAAAGCTTGGCTCTTTCTATTATATTACTAGAACGCAATTTGTTGAGTTTTAGGTAAATGTCAGACATTTATGAAAGCAATTTACTCAATTATCAGGGAATAATTTCCTCTGACATGGAAATGCCAAATATTTGATGTTAAAAAAATGATCGGACTATATTGCATTATACATATAAAGGACTTATTTAGGGGGCTCAATTACGATCATTACTAATTCATACCATTTAATGTAATTTCATCATGGATAATTTGGTATGGCCTTTCCGCTATGTGTACATGCTACCATTCATTGTCTAATTGAATTAGTTCAGTAATGGTCAAGTTTACAAGGATTTAGTGTACAGTCACAGTGTTATTACGGAAATTCTGGCAAATTTTTATATATAATCTAGGACACTTACACTAGCAGTAATGTGGGTATGCTGAAATCTTTTATAGTATTATCATATTAAGATCTTTTATAGTATAATCATAAGTAATTTTTGACAAAGTCCCGGTTAAGTTTCATCAATTTTGCTATGAACTTTTTTTGTCCATTTTCACTTAATTCTACATGTCAGAAGTGAATGTTGTCAAGTGGTACAGTATCCATGGAAATAAGTTTTCATAAATCGAAAACAATAATGAATTATTGTGTTGAATCTTAATCATCACCAAGTTATGAAAATAATTGAAGGAGCTTAAGTGGATGGAGGAAGTTGATGTAAGATGGCAGTGTTTGCGAACAGGAAGTCACATCTTAGACATTGTACATGTCCCCAAATACTTAAAGACAAGCTTTTGTTAGTGTTTTAACAACATCTGCAACATTTATACTGCGTTAAATTATCAAGTAGGACGTAATATTAAATAAAAAATGGAAATTCAGGGCCAAATTGTATGTTGTAGAATTTTTTTTCATTTATTTAGAACTTTTAATAGTTTTGATTTTTAAAATGTTTTTATGTTGTTAGCTGTATTTGCACTAACAGTTGTCAGTTTATATTTTTGTTGGTTTTTTCGTACTTGTTAAATATTCAATGTCTACATACATATATCTAGATAGTGAGACTGTATGTTGATAGATTTATCACAGTTTGATATTTGTTGAATGTGTTTTGGCAGCATGTTTCAATTGAAGTAAACAGTTTTATTAATGTTATGATATTGTTATTAAGGTGTCAGTGCTGCACATTGCATGGTTGTTATATTAATATACCAAATTTTATATTCAAATTATTGACATACTTGGAATTTATATTTTAATTTAATTACATTTGTGTGTGTTTTTTTTTCTCCAAAGATTTGTCATTTCAGAGCATAATGTAAATTTTTGATACATGTTTCCTAAGCTACTTAACTATTACATGGTAATAATTTATTACTTTAGTTTTTATTCTAAAATGCATACATTTTATGTTATATGATATTACAATAATAATCATAATTTTACTATTCTGTGAAACTGGAATTTCAGAGCTGTCTCGTATATGATTATCTATATTCAGTTTTGTATATAAGATTACATTGGATCATTGAAATTGATTTTCATGACTTTTGAAACACCAGATTCTAGTTATTGTTTTCATTCGATTTTAGGAAGTCAAATTACTGGGAAAAAAAGGATTGGACATTTTTAAGTCTCATTTAAAGTTTTAACAGTTCTTAGCACTTGAGTAATGAGATAGTGGGAGAGAATGTTGCGAAAACAATGTTGTTAAAAAACTGAAGGTCATGTCAGTTCTGCCACAGTTAAATTACCCGCATCATTAACAATCTGCATCATTTTCAGAGCTGCAAGCGGCAAACAAGACGAAGGTGACAATTTTCATTTGCTTCTTATTGCAGAAGAGTGTAATTTTTGTTAAGTTAATACAAGATTGTGTTTAATTATATCTGATATTTGCAGCACATGGTGCAGAATCAACTACCCCCGACATACCAGTATGCTCAAACCCCTGGGCTTGAAGAGTATCAACCAGTCATGGTACAGACCCCAGTATCTTCACTTCCAGCCGAGTTCAAAAGCGACCAGTCAGTGTTCACAACAACAGCTATCACCTCGGTGACAGCCAATGGGGGCGTAGAGCAGCAGACGGTAAGAGCCAGGGGAAACTTAAATGTACGTGAAGTATTTTGAAATTTTCTAGGCATGGTTTGCGGTGGTGGACTGTTAACAAAGGTGAAAGCATGTATTGCTAGTACTACATGTAGATAGAAAACTAATGATTTCGTTCTTATTTATGTTTACCGTAACAAGTAGTTTAGAAGAGGTACTAAAAGGAAATAGAATGGGTCTTGTTTAGGTTGTTCGTCTCTAAGTTTAAATCGGTACTTCGCAGTTTCTTTAAGATACCAAATTTTTCATTGCTTACTTATATTGGTGCATAATCAGTTACTTGATTTCTTATAACGATTTCGTCAGGGCAAAACAGTGTTTGTTCTATCGATTAACACATTTCTCTTAAAGACGAGGGAAATATTTCATTAGGTCTGTGTATTGGGCTTTATAATGATTAACTTCAGAGACTGGGAATTTGTTTTGAGCCAAAATTACATCTCTTGTGAATATCACAGTATGAATTGTTGTGGTCTGATATTCTGCTGGTTCCTACAGGGAAATAACAAGTCTTTTCTGCTTCAACAGTGTTGATATTTGCTTCATTTGTGATCTGCCGTTAGTTTGACATCTCTGTGGAATAAGACTCTTCAATTTGCTGAATTTTTCCTCAATAAATAGAGGAGAAAGTATAATTTGGTCAATGCTGGACTGTTGGTCATTCTTACAGACCTTTATCGATAAACATTTCTTCATTAATTTTAACACACTTGGCAATCCCAATGTCATCTAGATGAATTTTCACAAGAACTGTCATAAGCAGATATTTGCTATCAATTCTTTACATTATTGCAAGTGTCAGGTGCAAGTTTATCTTGTATCATTCATGGCAGTATGTATAAAATGACCCTTCAAAAGAGAAATATTATAAACTAACTGCTTTCTTCCCACCATTTTCTGATGGTAGTGATTGAAATTTTCCTTGATCTTTTGTGTTTTTCAGATTACATTGTAATGTATTTTCAATTGTTTTTGTTCTTCTCCTTGTCAACTGTTTAAAGCAATCTAGAGTGAATTAAATATCCTGGTGTAGTGTATGTTTGTTGTAGTAATTAGTCTTAAATGAAGTGTGTGGCTTGGGGCAGATTAGTTGCTAATTATGACACATCCTGGAAAATTGGGTTGACACTATGGTACCATATGTTTACTATAAGCTTATAAATCAATAAGATGTGAGATAGCAGGATATAGCATCATTTTAATTGTATCACTCTCATTTATTGTTGACTATTGCCATTGTACACATCTGTGTGTTTTTGTGTCTCCTGTAACACAACAATAAATTTTCTAAATAACATTTAACATGTATAGTTTTGGATTTACATAGTGTATAATAGTTGCTTTTACTGAAACCAGTGCTATTTGTTTTTAGTGCACTTAGACAGAAGATTCAAAGTACTAATTTTGTGGTGAAAAGTGTAAATTGACTATTCAGTTGCTTATTTGTGGATTGTGATTCATTTATATATATTTAACCACTGCTAAAAACCATGCAATTGAAAGTGAGAAATATTTTATTACTGAAATTAATCACAACTAATAATGGGTGTTCTTTTGGAATATTATTATTGCTACTTTTTTCATAACATTTTGTAACTAAGTGCTGCATTTTACATGTTTCTATACATCATACAAGTTTTGACCTTTTGCTAACCATGGGAAAAACGTTTTGTATTTGGCATGTATTTTTCATGATACTTTGACATTTTTCAAATTCAGGGATAAATACTTTATACTTGTACAAAAAAATGCTGATCTGATCAAAAGTTTTTTCTTTTGTACAAATTCCATTTGAACAATTTATTTCAATTAATAATTATCAGTAGACCTTCTTGGATGATTTATAACAAGAAGGCTACAAGAGAATGTTTTTAAAATGTTCCTTTTTTTGCCCTATACTAATAATGCATGAAAACTACATTTGTTCAATAGTAAGCATTAACAAATAGAAAGATTTTTACTAAAACAGGTGTTATTTATAAAGAACAATTACCTTAACTATTCTAAAGTGTGTATTATTATATATTACTTTAAAATGTAAATTTGATCTAGATGATAATTCCCCTAGTTTATAGAAGGCAAGCATACTATTATAAACTTTTCAGGCTTCATGCAGTTTCAAAATAACATGCTTTCTTCTCATAAAACTTTGCTTGCTGTTACAATAAGTTTTACTGAAAGAGATAAAAATACTTGTTAGGTAGATTTATTTCTCCCTAAATTTTATATATTTTATAAACAAGCAAGTCAATTTGTTTTGTCTGCACTTCAAGAGGAGTATTACATATACACCTTAAAATACAGTTACAACTTAAGTGTATCCGTGATTTTTATATCATAATTTTTGCTGATTTATTTCTATTAAACTGTTGAGTGCTAACTTTAGATACAACTGCTTTTCAGTTTAAAGGGTTCCATGTTTTGTTGTTTTTTTGAACATGCCTATGTATAGACTTTATTTGTTCCATTATTTGTAGCAGACAGATCTTGTGGAGGGAGAAGCAGTACCACAGCAACAGAGCCCTACAGAAGCCGGTTCCAAAGTGGAAGCCGTATCACCTGGTGCAGCACAAGGACCAAAGAGATTGCATGTGTCAAATATACCCTTCAGATTTAGAGAAGCAGATTTACGGAATTTATTAGGGGTAGGTCATAAATTTAACATTGTATAGTTGTTATATATGTCATAAGTTTAATTGCATGGTTGTTATATGCGTCATAAATTTAACATTGTATAATTGTTATATACACATGTATGTTATAAATTAAACATTGTATATTTGTCCTATATAGCTTTATTTAAGGAGTATCATTGGCAAAAGCACCAACTATTTTCATATAATAGCCTCAGATGGGTCAAAATACTTAAACAATGAATAAAATATTCTCATTAAATAGATAAATGTTCTCAGGTCATATCAAAGAGATAAATAAAACAAAGATTTTGTTTTTTAAATGAGTCATGTCAGAAAATTCACAAGTATTCATAGAATATATGGGCTTCAGCTTCGTAAAGCTTCTTTTCTTTGTTTGAAATTCTGTAGATAAGTTGCGTGTGCTTCAAGAGAAGGAAATTAATTTTCTATATATGTCATTTTTAAAGCCTCTGCAGTGTATTAATTCTTCATTCTACATAAAAAACAGTCTGATATTTTCCTTGAAAGTAATTAAAAGTCTAATATCAATGACAGAGTATTGGTACACAGGGAATATTGTAACAAATGTACTTTATGCTGTGATATAAACTATCATTCTTTTTTGTTTTGCAGCAATTTGGGCCTATCTTAGATGTAGAAATCATTTTCAATGAAAGAGGTTCTAAGGTAAGCTTCATATAGTTTTGTATGTGCTTAGTCTAAAATAAGTAGGGCCGTTGGTTTGTACATTGATCATTTTCTAAGAAATTCTTAGAATTCTTTAAAAGTTAAACAGAACACATTTGATTGAATTATGACTTAAATTTCAAAGTAGGAAGTCATTTTATGCATTGTTACCCAGTGGTTATAGATCAGTTAAACAAATTTCATAACCACTTAAATAAAGAACATGTCATTTAAGAGAAATTGCTCCTGAAATATGGTCCCAAAAGGCCCGAATATTCAGGTTAATAGAAAATGAAAAATGTCTGAAAAATGACGCAAATTTATGACATTTTATATGATATCTGTCTGGGCAAACATTACAAAAAAATTTCAAATTTTCCAGTAAATGATTCAGATTTTGCATTTTTAATGTCTCTTTATCAGAAAATAGATGTCCTTGTTTCAGTTCATTTGTTATCCTTTCTTTGAAAACAGAAACATGTCATGAAAAAGAAAAACATTTGGAAAAAAACAACAAAAAACATACAGAAATGAACCAGCGTTTATTCAGACCCAAGTGATATTATTATATATATATGTCTAACAACAGCTGTATTCATTTAAATATTCCACATGCTGATATCAGATAGTTAATAAGTATGTTGATAACTCCTTCTGGAGAGAACCATATTTATTGATTCATTTATATAAAATGAAAAACTGTTAATTGAAATTGTAATGCTAGACTGTACTGTCTAATTGTTTATTAAAACTGGGAAAATATATTGTAAAAAATTTCATCTCTCAGTTTGAATTCTGTATTAAACAAAGGTTACTGGTAATAATGAATGTTTGAAAATTGGAATAATTACAGCAAATGAAAAACATAAAATTGACTGTTTTTATATAAAATTTCATGAATTGTTAATGCTGATGTTTGTTTAAGTACATTTTTATGCAGTAGATAACTTTAGGCAATCTAAAATAGTTGTTTTCAGTTCTATTAGTATAAAAGTTTAAATAATTATTTACACGTTTGGGTACCAGTCGAGTATTTCTGTTTGCTAATTTAAGATCTTTTATTATTAAATGAGTACCAGTCAAAATTATTTCTTTATGCATAGGGTGCCAGTCAAGTATTTATATTGCTATATGAACAAGCTATTGTATTGATGTATTTAGACAAACATTTCTTTGATTACAAGTTATATCACATTCTGCACTTATAAACCACACCTTTATAATACTACAGAGAAAGTACCAAATTTTAGAGACTAAGAAAAGAAAAGAAATCTATTTAGGATCTATTTGGTTTTAGAATACTTTGTGTTTTATTAAGAGCTGGTAACTAATTGTTGTACTTAGATCTAAGAACATAATTATTTTCTTACATTGAATGTGATACAACTATCCCATTAAGACACAAGTGTTTTTTATGATGTTCAAATAAAGATTCCTGCATAATTATTATATGTGGCATGTTATTTTTGTATCTACGTCAGGCTGTCTTTGATTCAATAGAAAACAAATTTGCTGCAAAATAAAAACTGATGTTTACTCACAAATGAAAATTTTCATTAATAATATAAAGAATTACAGATCACTTAGAAGCTTAGCTAAGACATGATGTAAAAACATTTGGAATGTTTCCCAATATGATGTATTCTCCTCATTCTTTGAAAAAAAAAACAACAGCCACATTTAATAATGATGCAGTATGTGACATTATTATATTCATGTGATATCTTTTTTCATTAAATGTGATAATTTTTTTTCTATGTATAAGCTATTTGTGTGTGACAATACATGCCAAATCACAGCAAAATTGTATACTCTGATTGTTGTTTAAAGCCTGCAAGTACCAGAATTAGATTATGTGATGATTGTATACCCAAGATGCTGCACATGTGTGTTTATGTCATATAATGATTGTGTGTTTGTGTGTATACTATATGTGTTAGAATATATATGTGGGAGTGAATGTTGATCAGTCATTTAAATGTTTTGTGGTGTCGCATAATTGTAAGTCTTCTTTAAGAATGAATGGTATGTGTTAAATAATGAATGGTCTGCCATAGTATTTTTAAAAAAATAAATAATATACAATGTAGAAGTTACAACAACATTTTGTATAGTATTTGGCAAAAAAAACAAACAAAACCGGACTGATGAAGTAAAGGACTTTATAAATATATAAAGTAAAATTATCATGTCATTCATTATCCTTTGCTTGTTAATACCCAGTAAGATAATATGTGATTATGTTTTCTTATGTGAGTGTGTGTGTATGTGTGGGCGTGTTTGTCTATATGTTTGTTTGTCTATTAGTGTCTGTTTGTCTATATGTCTGTTTGTCAGTGTGTGTGTTTGTGTGTCTTGCAGCTGTTTCTCAAGCATGTAGATCGTGTCGCTTACTTAGGCACTGGCATGTTCGAATTGTCATGTCAAATCAATCAGATTCATGTTTCTTATCTATGTTACTCCTTGTTTAACTTCAGAAGACTGTGTACTGTCATGTATTATACAAGCAGAGGCATGTGTAATATGTTTTAATTTAAATGACTGACTATGATTATTACAAAGATACATGTATTGACAATGATTCGTTTGCACGAATTTTAATGCATGTTTCCTTATTTTTTTCCTTCGTGCATGTAGGGATTTGGTTTCGTAACTTTCCAAAATAGCGTGGACGCTGACAGAGCACGAGAGAAACTGAACGGTACAGTGGTTGAGGGACGCAAAGTTGAGGTGCATGTATATTCATTATTTTGTCGTAGCACAAGTTACACTTTTAAAGTCCTTTTATTCCTTAAACCTGTGCAGTATAAAGAAATGCCTGTACATCGTTGTAAGTGATTGTTGTATATTGCCTTGTATGTATGAAAACTATACGCAGCTCGTTGGTTTTCAAACTCCCCAATGTCAGTGAAAAGTTTTATGCCTTCTTTTTTTTTATGATTTTTTTTTATGATCACGTAGGCAAATGTATGGGTGCATTTTGAGTTCAAATCACCACTGATGTATTGAGTATATTTTTTCTTGCCAAAATTTGCCTTCAATGTACTACTGAGTTTTGTTGGGAAAGTACTTACTGTTTTATTTAGTGAAATATTGAGATCTGTGTGCATTTTGGTTATGGACAGTAGATGTTTTGTTTTCCTATACTCATGGCTGTATTTGGCACCAGTATTTTCCATTTATCTGTCAATGTTACTGAAAATATCTTTATATTATATATTTTTTCCGGATAGAGAGCAACCTATTTTTTTTATATATTTGTATTAATTAAATGTGTGTTATGGCATTTCTTCATGCTGTGCTGTGTCTCGCAAATAGTTTAATGTACATAAGCTAAAAGGTTACACTACAACAACACTTACAATACGATTTTATTTATAAGGCATTACAAACCTAAGTTCTCTGGTTGTACGCTATAGGAGACATCAAGTAGGTAGGTGAATCCACATTTTCCATACACTTTTCATTTTATATAGACCAATATACAGAACTGGAGATCAGATATTTCAAACAACATATTAATTTTCGTATTATTAAAGTATAGATCATCCTATATTAATGGAGCAATAAAAAAATAGTTTGCAGTCTTTAATTTCCATGGAAGGGGGTGTCATATTCTGGCAAAATATGTATAAATTCTTGATGCACTTCTAAAGTAATGCTCTCTTTAGTTGCAATCATTGAGCTGGTCTTTTGAAATATTCCATGAATATTCTGACATTTTATACTTAGAAACAATTCTCTTGGCGTATAAAGTGACTCATGTCTTTGAAATTCAGCCTGTCCTTTCGCATTTATACATGATTCCATATTTATTTCCATGCATTTTGAAGAAATATTTATGTTTGAAATGTAAAGCTTCATGTAAATACGAAATTGTTTCTGTATTCTGATAGTTGTTATTTTTTGTTAGTGCATGTTAAGTACTGATGCTCTGTTATTGATTTGGATAGAGACTTTCTATAACAGATGGATCTATAGAATGTTTCCCTAAGGTGTTGTGAAACAGATACATTAATTTAGGCTAATATTCAAACATTTAGTACCTCCAGCATATTTCCCTAGGGTAAAGAACACACTATATAAAACTTCCAAACATCCACATCTGCTCGGATATTTTCCTCTGTAGAGGCCAATATTCTATTTTCTGTTTCTTCTTTTGATGAATCTATATCAGAGAAATGTTGTTTTACGCTGTCTTTCATATCTATCTTGGCTGTAGTTTTCTGAAATAATGAAGAATAATGGAGGGAAGTTTTATTATAGTAAGAATTCCGCATTAACAAACATATTGATAATACGAATTTGGCACATTGCGGCAATGTTGTCACTTTTTATGCGAGTCTTACCTCCCTTTTTATTTAGCGCCATTACGTCATTACAAGCAATATACTGCGTATGAAACTTTCCTGTTCACTGACATGCCAGGAAACAGTCCAGAAGAATGCGGCTTTTAGATCTAAATATACATAAATAGTTACATCTTGATGATCTACAGCTTAGTAAAACATAACACAAGGTTTCTATAAACATTCCTTTGCACTTGGAGGTTATGCCATGACTGTCCTAATGCATTTACTGTGTACTTATGATTCTCCTAGGCCTGCAAGGTAACTCCATAACATATGGCATATGGTTTTTGGGGAGATAAGAGAAAGGGAAAATGTTGTTTGAAATATCTGTCTCACAGTCTAAACTGTTTACATAAAACTGATGATGAAGAAGTTGCGAACAGATTTATCTTATAAAAGAGATTTTCTTTAGAATATATCTCTTGCCCAAAATGTTTTCATTGCTGACTCATGAAATGTTTGCATTATCATTTGCTAAGAAGCATAAGATTTAGAAAAATAACTCTGTAGGTTTTTTGTATACCTCTAGTATTTATCCCTGTTATACTAAGAAAGTTGGTTTTCTTTGCATTGCAATGAACAAAATAAAAATGTATTTTCTTTATACATGAATGCTAAAGGTTTTGCAAAATCGAGATTCTAATATTTAAAAAAAAATTAATACCTCAGCTTGCTTTCTCTTACGATAAGCTATAAGATTTAGTCCAGGCATTTTACAAGGTGATTTATCCAAATTATAGAAATTATCATTGTTGTTAAATTATTCATTACTTTGATATAACAAAAAAAAAATCTCCAAAATAACACACAGTCCCGAATCTCTCATAGATTTGTTATTATTGAGACAAAATTCTACTAGTAATATATTAAGCTTTTTACATGAAGACAGTCTTAGTTTTATTTGTCTCAAGACGGAAATTTAATAATCCTCATTTTACTTTTCTTCTTTAATATGATGGTTTGTGTAAAGAAATGTAGTTTCTACCAATAAAGAAATGAAGTCAAACCTTCCAAAATCAATAAGAATTTGAGAATTTAAGATGTTATACTTAGGGGATGTTTTTTTAATTTGATTTTCGAAGCTCATTTTTTCAGAGATTTTTTTTGCAGTTTTTTTTACACAAGTAGTGATGTAGTGTGAATACAAAACAGTGATTTATTAGTTTTAAGCCTGAGACTGAATTCTAATAGCAAACCCTTTGTTCCAGACATAATTCTTAGACATTCAGTAATATAGTCTTCACAAAAAATGGAAATTAAAGATATGAGGGTGTTTCTATGACAGATTAGAGTAAATTGATTTTTGTGGTGCTTGTTTTTACAAATTTGTGGCTAATGAAAAGATGAATTTTAGATACAGGATACTTCTTTTGTTCATGAATAATTTCTGAAGAAGTTTGAAAATTGGATTTCATTTTTTTTTTTGTCATTTTGCCGAAATCTTCTTTCCACATCAGGGACTTGATTTAAGTCATTCCCACATTTTTTTTTTTGTAATTGTGAATTTAATAAATTTTCTAAAGGTGTAACCAGAAATTATTACTTTCAAATACCACAAGACCAGTTTGTACAGCCATAGGGCATACTGTTAGTCAGATTCTATAACTCTAAAATACCATTTGCTTCACAGTTACAGCATTTTAAAGGAGTTTCTATATTGAAATCCAAATTCAGGTCCTTACAGCATGACTGTTACATTAAGTTGATTAAAAGTTCAAAATGTCTGGAACAAAGTGTTGAAAGGGATAAGCAAGATATTTTTGGAGTAAGATTTTAGGATGTATTTGCTTCACAATGATAACAAACAAGCAAACAAAAAATATATCATGAGAAATTGCTGATTTATAAGTACTTTTTTGCAATTTCCATTTCTTTTGCATAACAATTTTTCATGAATGAGGGTATTGTATATAGCTATCAACATAAAGTATTTTATCTCAAGATTTCTTACTAACATTTACATAATATCTGAGGGTACTCCACTCCTGTTTGATTTTTATGCTCGCATTTTTGCCAGCGGAGACGGTTAATAATATTTTTAAGTTAGGAGTCATAAACCAGAATAAAGTTTAAAGACTCAGAGTTTGAGTAACTAAAAAAACCTCTCACAGTGGTACAATAAAAATGATGTAAAATGTTACTGAGTTTTTCCTGGAACCGTTTTTAATGCATTTATCAGCTGCTAAAATAAAAGATCTGTATCAAGATTAAAAAAAACATACAAGGTGTGCTGTAAAGATAAGTAAATCTAGTACACTCTTTTGATAACCGAATAAATAACTTGAGAAAGCAGGAGTCAGATGTAAAGATAAATTCTGATATGACTAGAATTATTTCCCCTGCGTTCATTATGTAAGCAAAAAAAGAAATTGAAGATGAAATACATTTGTTGATAGCTATATATGTGTGTTATAGATTCTTTCCCAGTCAATTCCCATGTCAGTTTAAGTTGTCCAATAAATAATCATAGAAAACTGCTTATTAGACATTTTGTCTAGGAGTTCTTCTTAAAGTGATAATATTTACATTTGTCTGGTAACTAAACAGGCCCGTATTTTTCAGTATTTGCTATTCAATTATCTCAAATTCATTATATTTTATGCTTATCCAATCTGGGTAGAAATTAAAATTCACAGAAAAGTAGTGAAATGGGAAAGTTTCTATGGCAGCACTAAGCACAACTGGATAGAAATTTGCATTTGTTAGAAAACAAAATTTATAATGATTGTAGTTCACACAAGTGTAAGTGAATATAAGTACTTCCTTCTCAGAACCATCCTTAGCGTAACTGTGAACAATACATACATGGTTTGATTCCTGAACATAAAGTTTTAAAACTGTTTCTTATTATACATTGATAACAATTCAGACTGAAGGAAAAAAGTTAAGGAAAAAAACTTGACCGTCATCAATGTATGTTTAATGAAACTTATCGGCCAGTTTCTTACGGTCTGACAAAAAACTTTTATAAGGATAGAGATGAAAAAAATGATATTTTGAAATACAGAAACAAACTTGTTTCTTTTGATGTGTTATAAATTTATAAAATCATATATTCGATAACCCTTAAGAAAAGAGAAAAAGGAAAAAAAGCGTTTTTAGAGAAAACCTGTATTTTCACCTAAATTTCTAAAACCAAATCAAAATACACCAAAAAGAAAATATACAAAAGAACTATTCCAGTTGTGCAGAGTGATTAACAAAGTACACCCTTATTGGTATATGTTGCATCTTATGTTGATATGTATGCTATGTTTGTATGTACTCAGATTTCCTTATTGCTAATGTCTTACCATCCTTCGTCAGGTCAACAATGCTACTGCTCGTGTAATGACCAAAAAAACTGCTGTTGCACCTACTATCCCAAATGGTAAGACATCGTATTCATGAATGTTTATTATTATTATTTTATATTTATTTTATACTGGTTGTTTTTTTTCTGTACAAAATCATTTGTTGTTTTTTTTTCTTTAAATAGAAATTTTTTTTTTCTTCATTTTTGATCAGCACAACGAATTTTAAAAAAGAATGATTTAAGCTAATGCCATCTGAAGCTATTTATGAGTAATACAATTTGAAATATTTAATATTTAATGTCCCTGCTTACTGTACAGTGGAAAATAAATTACGAATTCTTGGGAATTGAATTTAATTAACAAATTTAGATAGCATTAAATATCAGGCTCTGTAAATTATTCCCAACTCCGAGAAAATACCAATTATGATAAAATTTCATATGGGATGTAAGGGGCATTTTTTCAAGCACTGTATGATAAAAGCATTAGTCATTTGACCTTTAATATTCTAATGACAAACATTTATGAGATTTCCTTAAACTGGATCATTAAAAAATGAAAAGTGGTTCAAGGGTTGTGAAGTATAAGGACAAGGAGAAAACCAGCTTCATCACCTGACACACAAGTACCAACAGACAGTAAAACGAAACTTCCTCAAAATTTTGAAATCATTTTTCTGACATTTAACGAGGAGAAGTTCCAGAGTTATGATCCGTTACAATATGATTGACATTTGAGCCTGTTAGGCACAAGATAAAGATGAATGCTAGCCAGGCATAGACTATACATAACAATAAACAGGAAATAAGGAACCAAATTCAGCAGATTTATACTTGTCAATTGCTTCTTTTCACAGTTCAGTTCTATAGAAGAACTGGATATATCACAAGAAAGGAATCTGTAGGGAGTGATAAATTATAGGCATTCACATATATTAATAAATCACCATTCCTTAATTTTGGGAAGTAGACAGTTATTGATAAAATTATAGAGAACTGTGGTTTATGGGCATTCTTTGTATGTTCCATAGTCTAGAGTTGTCAGGAGAGGTCATTGGAAGGAAAGAAAAGAAAAAATTCAGGACACGTGGCAGAAGGAGTAAAAGATGTCTTTTTCTTATTTGATTAGACTGTTAATGTCAGTATTAAAGGTGTCTACTATCAAATGGTGAAAGCAGAAGCTCTCTCCTGAAAATTGATGGGATTGTCTTGTATTGCACTCAGTGATACTGGTAGAATTTAGCTCCTTTCAAAAAAAGACAAAGACAAAAAAAGATTAGAATGCTAGCAGACTGAGTTGCTATATTTCTTTCATGTGATGGAAGCAGTGGAATGATGTAGTTATACAAATATAATGCAGTTATAAATGCCTACGTTTTAATACAACAACAACAATAACAACAACATTTTATTGGCATAAATGTTACAACAAAATTATAGCTATAGAATATAACAAACTCTTTTTCATATCAATAATATAGAAAGTTAAGGCATATAACTAAAGTATTCAGATATTATATAATACTAAACACTTCCTTACACCAGTTAATCTTAAAGATGAGTTATAAGATAATCCTCTTCGAGTCAGCAGTAAAATATGTCTAGGGAGAAGTGGATTGATGATATTTTTGAGCATTTAATGACCAGTTAATTTTTCTTCTGAGCTATTTTTTTGTAGTGGAATTCATGATAAATTGCTATTGGTTTCCTAAATTTATGATATCTGCTCAGCATGAGCTAATTCTGTACGGATTTGGCAGGAAGAAAAAAAAATCATCTGTAAATATTTATGAAGACAGAGACAGAGAACTAAAGGCACCTGCATACCAATGTTACTTCACTGGAAACAGGCCATAAAATAAATAGCAGCCCTCCATATGTTTGCCAGAGAAAAAACACAACATTCAGCTACTGTTCAAATATGCGAGATTAAGTTAGGAAATGAAAGGATAGTATCTGTCTATCATATCTCAATGAAGAGGTTATTTCCTAGAAAAGGTCAATATGAGGGTATGTGCCAAAAATATTAAGATCACAGTATCTTAGAAGATCACAATATCTTAGAACATCAGCAAATCTCAGTCCAGCAGAATTTGTGTACACCAAGGAACCATGTTGTGTACAGAATAGATGTATGGGAAAGAAGGATAATTATCTTCAATTTGACTGAGATATATATCTGATGATGAGAAGTAATTCAAAGGAATTGTATGCATTGGGCATCTGTCAGAGAAATTATCTACAAATCTGTCAAGAATATTAACATTGGTTTTTGCTGTTAAAAGTACATTTGGAAGATTTTCCCTGTTATTTGTATTCCATCAGTGTATTTGTTAGCTGATGGTTGATGAAAATAAGAACAATATTATTGTTTCGGAATCCTGGTATTCAGATCAGAGGTTAATCACTGGCCTAAAAGAAGACAAAAATGACTCATATTTTTAGCATTCATGGGGAGTAGAATAAGTTACTGATCATTTTTGCCAATGATATCCATTGTGTAAAGTCAGGAAAAAACATTTGAATTGGGATATAAGTCTAAATTAAAGTCTTCTGAATAATTTACAATAAGTAACAGATTTTCTTAAGAAGTTTCCATGGTGTTTTCCTTGGTACTGCTGAGAGAATTGAACCTGATATGTAATCTTATTAAGTTGGGAATTTAGTATGATCTCACAGTATAAATGTATGGAATTCATATGGTATTATCTGGTGAGGGAAATGTCAAAAAGAATCATTAAGCCCCAGTTGATATCTTCTAATATTACAACAGGATTGCATGCGAAGCTCTAAAAGTGCTTGAAAAAATATGACTTGCTGGCTAATATTGACAGTATGATGCAGGAAAAAAGTGATATATTAAGACTTTTAGATTCCTCGGGGGATTACATTTTATTGATTTTTATTCTCCCTTTGGCCTCTGTAGCATGTTGTTTGCTTTCTGAAAAAGTATGTTGTCAGAATTGCAAACAATGAACAAAATCTATGACCAAATAACATACAAACTTGAATCTTGTGCATGGAAATGGGTTTTTCGGGATTTACTTTATTTTCTTTAATGAAAGCATTTTGTAGACGCTGAATTACAATTACCAGGAGTCAGATTCCTGTGTGCATTACATGTATATATATATAATACTTTGATGTTGATTGATAAATAACCAGAATGCCATTCTTTAATGTTCTGAATATTGACATAATATTGAAATTTGCTCGCATCCCCTTGACTGGGCGTCCTTAATTGAATAAAACTGCAATTATTCTTGTTTGAGTAGTCTTAATGATTCTTAGACTTGCTAATTTTTTCCCCCACCCCTCCAATAATACATTCTAAATTACAAAACTTGGGAATGTAGTAAAACCATTGCATTAAACAGGAACTGCATTTGCATAAATGTGCAAAAGAACTGCTATGCCCTAATGCAATAACTTGCCTGAATTTTTTCTGATATATCTTTTTTGAAAACAGTTTGGATGAATGCTGTTTCATATTTCTTATTTTATGTCTTATTTATAAATGTTATGCATGATCAATATTTTAGATGAATTCTCTGTAAGTAATGATGTTTTGCTTGTAGTTATATCGCCAGTATCTGCAGCGGCGCTGCGAGGTGTTGCGTTGACACGAGGGAGAGCTACGGCCCTGGCGGCACGTGGAATGTACAACGCAGCAGCAGCAGCTCAACTTCAAGCTGCCGCACTCAGACAACCAACTCCTATTCAAACTGCCACAGCTTTGCCATATGCTACGTAAGTACCAAATTATTGAAATGATAGAGAGAGGAAATTATAGTCTTAAGAAATTGTAAAAAATCAACCGCTCCCCAGAAGCGGTTGTAAATAGCTACAATTATTACCATGTCAGACTGATGACACAAATTGTCTTTTTATGTTTCTTCACTTCAAGAATGTTTATTATACAAATGATATCACTGTTAGTCAAGTGGATTATGGTATGCTTTAGACGCCCTAGGTATAATTATTAGTGGTATAATGCCAAAAGTAGGTTTAATAAAAATTCAATTCGATATTTTATCTATATTACTGCCATGGAAAGTATCTGTAAGAAATTCTGCCCATAGAATAACACTCAATTGTTTAGTATTTTACGTCTTTAGTGATTTTTTGGTGTACTTTTGTTTGACAACAACATCAGTCATTGTAGATTTATCAAAGGGTAGAGGAACTCTTCAACTGAAGCATGTACTTCATTCTGAAATGCCATTCTTTCTGTAAAGATGAAAATAATGATTAACTTACACATACAGTATCCTGCACATATTCTGTTTAGTACACACTGTAAATTGCCAGCCGTATGTGCTTTATATGTAGATGTTGTGTTAATCCTCAAGTCTAGCTCCTTAGCTCCTACATAGTTGTATGCCTCAGCTTATGAAACATGGCCAAAAATTATTTTTTAATGATAGATGCTTTCAAAATGTTCAATGTGATCATAACCAAGGACTACATAATGTAAGACAATGATGTATGTTTTGACCAAATACCTTTTTCTGCTTTCTTTACTATTAAGCATGCAATACAAATAAATGATAGCAGTGGTTGTGAGGTATGGGGAGCTAGACTTGCTGCGGAACCTTTAGTTTTTCTGTTTGAAAAGACTCAGATATTTTATGTTGTTTTATCTCTTTTGTTCTCTATGCAGACAGAGGCTACAGTAAGTCATGACTTGTTGTGAAACAGTTTCTTGACTGTCATGGTGGTTTATTTTTACTTTCTGCAATTTTGTTGTGCATTTTGAGCTTGGTGTGACACATATATCTGTAGAATACAAATGCATCATGGCTGAATTTTAAAATGAAATCCAGACAGTTTCTCAATACTTTGCTGTGCATGTAATGTCAGTCACAATATTGTGCGTGTGTGATATTGAAGATTTTATTGCAAGGTCATACATAAAATTAAAATCGTATAAAAAATTAAAGAATATTAAAAATAAATAAATTCATGATTTGGTTTCATCTTTCATAGACATGTCATAACTTAAAACACCATTGACAGCATCAAAATTTTGCTCTTAAAATCGAAATCAAAATGAAGAATTAATGTATGATTTTCATGACTGTAAGGATGAACTCATTTTGTCTCTTAATACAAGTGCCTTGTATAACTTAATTGTTTCAAGTTTGGTAACAAAGAAAAGAAAAAAACAAAAAAAAAACAACAACATCTTCACAAAATATTTGATAGAAATGTTGAAATCTTCCTGGATCAGAAAGTATAAATCTTAATGCATTCTTTTAAGAAAACCAGTATCTTATTACAGTATCTAAAAGAAGTATTACAAAAATATTTTTCTTGGATCAATTTCTCTTAGTTTACCTTTCTAGTGGAAAAAAAGTAAACAGTAACCAATGCTCAGTTCATCTAAAACAAATGGCTTGTTTTTTGGTTTCTTTTGTTTTTTTACCATCCTGAAGGCAGATCCAGATTGAAAGCAAGATCATATTTATTAATCCATAAATCATTAAAATGACAGTGCAAGAAATTGTTGATAGAGGAATTCAGAGAAGATTCCTAGAATTGAGATAATAAGCAACGTCTTGGAGCTTGCATTTTTTTTGTTGCTCTTTGTGAAGTGTACTGTAATAAATGACTGCAAGGGTGTTTAAAATATCTTTTAGCCTTAAAGATGAGTTTGAAATTTTTTGTCTCCTTCTGATATTTATTAGAGCAAATTCTCATTGTTTTGAAGGATGAATGAGTGTTATCAGGAAAACATTTGCAAAATTAATATCTTATTTTATTTTAAGAGCTTTCTAAAGATTTACAGGCATTTTGATGATTTAAATATCATTTAATTTTCGAGAATGTTGGCATATTGTGTCAGTGCAATAAAACATCTGCAACGGTTTTTTGTTTCAAGGCACTCAGACAAGCATTAAATAGGTGAAACTGTCAGTTATGACAAAGATATTTAAAGAATGAATACTTGGTGTAATGTCAGGTAGATAGAATAAAAATGAAAAATATGACCTTGAAAAATAAGTGTGACCCTGGAAATAAAAGTTTGACTTTTCGACTGAATATGTATTAAAGAAAGACTTGAATGTAACATTTGCATATGTTTATATATGTATATTTAGCTGCACTGTCTGTTATTATGCATCATAGCATTTGATAGTTATGTATGATAAATATTGAACCTTGCATTGATGCCAATGGTAATATGTTGCTAGCTTGATAATTCCCCATATATACTGTAATTAAATGTTATGTATGTATAGAGTGCATCTGTTTATTGATTTCTGCTGTATATACTAAAACAGTGTTTGCTCAGATGTGTTTTTGCTTCTTATGTGAATTGAACAATGATTATGGCTTGATCTAGAAAAAATGAAATGGTTTTGAAATATCATTTAATAATTTCTTGTTGAAAAATGACTTCACAGTCAGCATGTTTTGAAACATTTTTAATAAATCTAGTTCAAGCCCTAAGTTCAGTGTTTTGTTTATGCCTCTTTCTAGAGTACTTGTCATTACTAACAAAACAGTGCATTAACATAAGCTTTAATACAAATCTTTTATTTTCTTTACTGCACACTGACCAGACTATTACTTTTCTCTACATATTGTTCAATTACTTACTTTCTCCCATTATGTTGAAATAGCTGCTTCAGTTTAACTTCTAAGTCATTGTGATAAAACAACGATGCTAGTATTAATCATTATAATACGGTTCCCTTTACAGTATGCAGTATGCAGCAATGGACCCAGCATTATTAGGCGCATACGCTGCAGCAGATAGGTACCAGCTAGTCACATCACAGCCAATGACGGGAGGGATTCCTCTGTCAGCAGCAAGATATGCAGTCCCTGCAATAGCTGGTTCTGGAGTGACATACGCAGCTGCAGGGTAGGTGTCAGATTTATATTTTACAATAAGTAATAAATCCTACTGCTTAGGTTAATAGAAATCCTCCTTATAAAAGAATTCACATTTCTAATGGGAAAGAATCAACATGAGAGCAAGTTGTCACCTTAGTGGAGTAATTAGGTTAAGTCCTTATAAATTTGATAGGAGTTAACCAGTTATTGCACTAATGGACGAAGTCAGCAACTTGACCACCTAGTCATCATGGCCTTTCTCTAACATTTTTGAAGCCTTTCAGAAAGTCTGCCCTCTAGAGTTAAATTTCTTGAAGTTATTTTAACAAAAAATAAGCTAGTTAAATAATGTACCAAAATATATGTAAAAATCAATGTGTTCATGTTGATCAAAGAGAAATTTTTAATCTTAGATCAGCAGCTTCACAAGTTTTCATTTCTCATTATTTTTTGCTTTCTGTAGAAAATTACTTTTTCAACAACTACAGAAAAAAAGGAAACAAATTAAATTCTGCAAGATTGTGTCAAAATAAAGCATCCAAGAGATTGCATTATTGTCTGAAAAGCTTTTTGATATTTGTTTCTGACACTAAGAGACATGCTAAATTGTGATCCCTCCATATCAAGGAAACTTTCCAAGAAAATAATGTTTTGTAGGCTAATCTGATATTGAGTTTACACATTAAATCGGTAATGGTGTACTTTATTGAAAGAAATCCATTTGAGCAATTTGAGGAAAGTGTTTTGTTCCATTAGCAGCCTTTAACAAAAAAGGACAGACCTTTTATTGTTTAATTTGTTTATCTTCTGTTTTCACAATTTACTTGTATGAACTGATCTGTTAAAATAATGTAATTTTTTATGTGGTATGGCAAACTTGCAAAGCATTTTGAACAAGTTTAAATAGAATTTTAATATTTTGTTAGATTGTAAGCTACACCAATGCTGTTAAGTTCTTATGGCATTTACCTAGCTTTAATAGTGGAGGAAAGCATAAAGTTCCACTATGAGCATAATATTCAAACATAAGGGGTGGGGGGGGGGCATTTGGTTAGAACCATAATTCATCATTTTGAACAATTCATTCTGTCAATCATTATATATTTACAAGACCTTGAAATTGAATGTATTGTTAAGAATAATGTTGGTTAATGTTTTAGTTACACTGGTCGTGAACTAGCTGCAGCAACGACAGATCCTCTTCTTGGGCACAGTATTGGACCAGTTCCCGGATATGGGGTAAGTTACCGTCATAAAGATGTTAAGGTGTTAAAACTTATTACCTCTTGAAAAGTTCACTGTTATTATTTCACCAGCCTGTACGTCATCTTGATTTAAAATGGATAAAAACATAGAGTTATAACTGTCAAGTAATGAGCAATCTTGATTAACATATTTATCTGTACGTTATCATATCTCTTTACTTTGCACATCTTGGCAGCAAAATTTTTCCTAAAAAACAATTTGTCATATATTTTCATGGTTTCATATCTATCATTTGAATTTTAGCTTCCTCTTTCCTTCCTGGTATAGCAATGGATCAGTTATTCGTCATTTTCATTGATTAAAAAAGTCAGTAATAATGTTCTTTAATCTTATTATGTACTATTGTTATATATTTATTAACCCTCACTGTTGTATATTTCAAAAACAGGCTACAGTTTATAGAGGTGCATACCAGAGGTTTACTCCATACTGATTGGCTGGCACAAGTCATATGTTTGATCTAATTGACCGATAGAATTCTCCTATTTTGGTCATTTGATCTAAAGATCTGTGATGGATGGAGGAACAAAAAAATGCTGCGAAAGTGAAGCTCATTGACTTCCATAAAAAACAAATCTTTCGCACCCTACTCAAGTATTATTACAGAGATTTGAAAAGACGTGCACAGTGCAATTACAGTTTTTTCTTTTTAAACAGTGCTGAATCGGTGCTCTGATGTCCTTATTATAATTTATTAACATTGTTACGAGGCACTGTTTATTGAGATTTTATGAAGATACACAAAAAAATAGCTGCCATGTATTGAATGAACCCATTGATACGCAAACATTTTCTGTTGAAATAAGCCGTCTGATTGTACATATTTATATAGGTCTGTAGCAATAATCAAAATACTGGGCAAAATTTACATGTACTGGTTGCATGTATTTTTGTTTAACAGGGAGAAAAACATTTAAACCTATTAGTTGTAGAAAAAAAGGTGAGAATTTAAAGCATAAAGATTTTTTTTAAACATTAAATATGATAAATATTTGTTATAGGATTTACCAATTTCAGACTTCAGAGCATTTTTATGCTGAAAACAAAACTGAATTTATCCATATTTTCAACAAAAATATTTTAATCTCAATACTCAGATGGCATACTTCATTCAGAACAAATACATCTAGTCAAATTTGTATTTATATTTTCACTGTACCTCGTGCAACTTTTTACAAGTTCCATACTTCATGTTTGTACAAGGGTTTCATTTTTTTTGTCATGTATTTTGATTTTTTTTCTCTCTTTATTTTTTAGATATATAATCAATGTATAAATTATATATAAAATCATGGTCAAGGAATGTTTACAGTGTAAGCATAAAGGGTCTTAAAGTCTAAATATATTCAATATTCATAGAGAAATATTTTGAATTTTGTTGACAAGTTAAAAGTGACATACAGACTAAAATGTCACCACCAATTTAGGAACTAGAGAGTTGAACTTACAATTATTGATATTCCTGCCTTGTAGTTGCTGTCAAATTGCAGTCAATTTAGTTAGATTGATAGTTTATGTAATTCTGCCCCATCAGAATCAATAGTATTGTGATAGAATGTAAACATTCATCATTACTAGGGATTAATTTAGTAATGAAATATTTGCTACACCGACTTGCTGCAGGCATTCCTTGATCAGGGTTTAGATAAAAGCTGAAAATTTGCCATACTCTAGTATTCTAAGTATGAACGTTTTTGAGAGAGATTGATTGTTTGAATGGGTCGTTATGAAGGTTCAGGGTAGTGAACTTAAATATATTCAGGGAAGATGAGATTTTTAACAATAAGATATCAGTATATCATTTTTATTCAAGCAATTTTATTTTTGGATGATGGTAAATATTAGAAAAAAATAAGTCTTTGATTTAAGACAGTGACAGAGTATACTATATTTTACAATTAAAATTGAAATTTTCCTCTCATTTCGAGTCAAAACAGTAAAGGACCAAAAATAGAAAATAGACCAAAATATGTAAACATGCTATTCTTTATAAATATTTGTTAGCCTTCATTTTTGATTGGATTGGGACTTAAGTATAAACAAACAAAAAAATATGATAAAAAAATACAAAACACAAAGATGAAGGGAAAACAAAATTCCTTTATGCTATGACTAAGAAAGAACATTTTTAGGGCTCTTTGTAATGCAGTTATTATTATCATATAACTTGATGGATCTAAAGAAAGCGATAGGACCCTACCCTATTGCGCTGAAATTAACTTCTAGGAAAGGTCAGAGAGATATCAGTGATAAGAATATATACCGATGATACCGTTATTAGATTGCTATCTAAAACAATCATAGAGTCTCGGCCAAATTCTGTAGAAACCAATTATAAATATTGATCTTTTTTTGTGTCTTGGAATCTCAATTATGTACAGGAATAGGATGAAATCTCACCAGTTTATGAAATCCTTTTTTTTATGAATCATTGAAATCAAAGCACTGTTTAATTCACTTTTGTTTTACGTTTGATTAAAATCTTTATTTTCCCGTTCAATTTTTTTTTTACATTTTTTATTTAAGACTTATTTGTTTACATTAAAAAAATCGCTGTTAGTCATTTGGAATGAATAATATTTTTTTTTATCAAAGCAAAACAAGTAGTTTCTTTGGATAAAATATTTAATTGTTGAATATTATTCAGAGTCAATTTAAGATAGATTTTAACATTTAATTTCAGTATTGCTGGCATTGTTCTTTTGTTTTGTTCCGTCTGTTTTTCTTTTTAAAAATCTACTTTTTAAACGCATTTTGCCTGTTTCTTGTCTAGCATCATCAGTTAAACTTCACTTATGTCATAAGCATTTATTTATTATATAAACAAGGAATCTTCCATTTTATTGTCCTATTTTTTTGGTGTGTGTTTATCAGCAAGTATGTGATTATTTTTTTTCCTCTAGTCTTTTTTTTTCATACTAGTTAGTCAACATATTTTAATAGTTAGTTTCTGTCTCCTATTATATCAGTTAAGTATTTCAAGGAAGTTTTAATTAGTTTATAAGGATACATATTTTAATGGGATAAAAATAAGACTTTTCAAGGAAGTTTTAATTGACACATTTATTTTTTTTTTATTAAAATTTTAGAAGTTGTTTAAAGCGAGTTAAAACATGTACTATTAAATTAGTATTGATTTTAGAAAGTAAAGACACAATAATACAAATATTACACTAAAGACAACAATTCTTTTGGTGTTTTCGACCTTGAACAGATCCATAGGGAATGTAATTTAATGTCTTATTTCATAAATTTCGATGATAAATTTTTGAACATTTGATGTTTACAACTGGGTTTATTTTAGGAGACAGTAGCTGACTTTGTTTAGAGGTGATAGATCACACTCTTGCCAAAATATCTTGCCTCTAAAAATTGAATGTCTGCCAGATCATGTAAACTTATATGTAATATATATATATATTATATGTTTTAAATCATCTCATGATTTGTTATTAATATTATTATTAATGGGGTTGTATTTTTACCCCGGTTATTGAATCTCTATTTAAGTGCTAATCTACGCATTTACCCTTGGAAGCAGTGTAAAGCACACTTATGCAATTATCTGGTGAAGAAAATTTTAGCAATGTTGTTTGTTTTTATTCCCTTGCAATTATTTTTTTAAATCAAAATTTTAAATTTTAAGTTTTTTTTCTGGCTGAATTCCAGATTTCAGGTTAAATATAAAACATTGTTTGCATGTTTAATATATATCATGTAAGATACAAATGTAAATTTTTTACAAATGATGGGTCTGTAAACATAAGCTGCAAGTGTGCAATAAATGGCAGAGATCTCAAAAGCAAAATGTTTCTTTTTTTCTTGTCCATTGTTGTCTTTTTGACACTTTATTAATGTTATTGTGTTGTCATGTTACCATGGACCTTTTCATTAATTAACAGTATGATAGACTTCAAAAAATCTCACCTTTTCTGTAAGTTTGATTTACACTGTTTCCAAGTATTATTTGTTGGTATTTGGAGTTTGAAACTCATAAATACTATCTGATCATAGATTGCAGTTATTGATTAAGTGTATTTTAGATACAAGTTCTGTTTAATGAACTGTTAAAATAACAAAATCAGAAGTTTATACGAAATTTAATTGCTGTTCATATCAGTTATGTCTTCACTATTTGTTCTTATCTCATAAAAAGCCCATTACAGTAAATAATTAAGCACAAACTTGGAAATTGAAGTTTTAAAGATCCAAAATCTCAATTAGTTCAGAACTTGTATTTAAAAAATCCTTAGATCTTTGATATTTTAATTGGTAATGTGCCAGTTTGTATTGGAGACTTTACTCCATAAAGCATTATCTTACTTTGCAATTTTTTTTTACATGTGCAAATTGTCATCTTTTTAAAGAAGCAAAGTCATTGATAATCAAAAATGATGAAGTTTAATTGTATTTCTTAAAATACATGCAAAAGTTTTATTTAAGTTCTTTGCCTTGGTCTTGTGTTTTGAATTTGTTGTGTGTTGTTTCGGATTTATTTGTGTAGAACGTGTTAAGACACTGTATAGGAAATGTGTCAAAGTGCTAGTGAGAATTGACATGGGGGATTCAAAGTCAATTACTAAGTTGATAAAAATGGATAAAGATAGGGCTACGTAAGACTCTTGCTGAGTTTTATGGCTTGTGAAAATTGTACAGTTATGTTTACCATTATAATGTATTCGCACCTTTGCATATGTTACTCTATTTACTATTTTCCATGTTTTTTGCTTTTGTTAACCCACATGCATCCATCTTTGTAATTTGGCACTTATATAAACACATGCGAAACCTTGCACCTTTTAAATTGTTCAAAGCCGTTTTACATTTTATTTTGGTAATCTTTACCTTCCAAATAATTTTTTTTTTCTGCAATATTTTATGAGATAACAGCATTGATAACTTGTTGATTTTTTTTTCGTATTGTTAGAAAATTTCCAAAGATTTTTCTATTTGTTGTAATTATGTGAGAGGCAAGGTTGAGCAAGTTGTAAATCAAATATTGTTGGGCATGGCCTTGATTGCATTCTGGTCTCAGAAATGACTTGATGGAAGCAGCTGGTATGTTTTTACCTTGCCATCCTTCAAAAAATTTATCTCCACCCAAGAAGGTGCAGCATTCCTTTATAAAAAGATAAAAGTTTATCTCCAAACAGATAAGGAAAATTAGCTTGTTGGCAAGTTAAAAATATATTACCTGCAAATGATTCATTCTATTTGGATGTAAGAATTCCACCTTTTTTTTTAAAGGGGAATATGTTAAGCCAAGGTTGAATGTTCATTATTTTCCATAGCATGAAGTTTATTGAGCATGTTTAATACAATAACAGGCGAGTTTTAGGGGTATGAAGTATGCCTCCTGTCTTCCAAGAAACTTCTAGCATGCCTCCAAGTGTGAAGAGCTCATGGCAAAGGGAGATAAATGTGACACAGAAAGCCATGATTTCTGGTTTGTTTAGACCTGTATATATTACATGTAGAATGTACTCTGTATATATAATATATTTATCACAACTTAATCATATTCAGCTTTAGATTCTTTGTTGTTGTGCTATGTAATTAGCAAATGTAGTTTACCCTTACTTAATCTGCAGATATTTTTTGTGAGTTGAAAATCACTAAAATAACATCTTATGTAACATTATGTATGAGACTTATTTGATCTTCATTAATATTACATTATTCATATTTACAGCCAAATTTAGAATGAATCTTAAGAATAGAAATAGATTTTTCCAAAATTTTTGGTCTTGAATTTTTTAGATTTGATAATCTAAATTTGATTTTTTATCTCTCAATATTGAACTTAATAAATAATAATATTGTGTGTGTTTAATTTGGTTTGCACTTGTTAGTAGGATCTGTCCATATTCTGTGTGTATTTTGTTTGGTTAATTTCATCTGGCTGTTATATACAATAA